TAAAGTTAAGTTGCACTATGGAGTAACCAATGATAATTCTAATTTTGAATTAACCTAAAATTGACTATACTGAGGTAGACTCCAGCCTCATCTAGACTAAGGGCCAGGTTCCAATGGTCACCGTAAATGGATGTCCAAGGGAGAAAAGGACTGAAGTGTGTATGGTACTAATTAACTTGTGGAGATAACATACTATACTGGTGCTTGTACAACTAAGGCAAGAAACTGTTTGCAACACTATCAAGTTCCTTTTGGACAGTCTAGGATCTGATTCTAGTCATACTCTGCTTAGGTTTTATATTACTTTAATTCAGGTCTTACTGAATGAGAAACTTATCTGTGCCATTTATTTAATTACAGTATTTACTTCTTGAACTTGTATATATACATATATGAAACATGAACCTCAAAACAGGTGAGCAATGCTGAATTTAGGTTGAAAATAAGAGATGTTTCTGGGCATGTTATTTCATGAGACATCTCGCTCTGCATGGACTCTGTGTCTGGTAGGCCGTGTACTGCTAGCTGGCTGTATCTGAATGTAGCAGTCACTACTGCACTGTCACCTGCTGCAGGGCCAGCTCATCACTGTTGAAAGGCGGGTCCTTTGGAAAGTGCTAGGGTCCTAATTTCCAGGAATGCAGGTGGTGCATCTATGTGTGATGGGATGGCAGTGTATGTTAGCTGGTTGAAATTCTGACATCAGCTAACATGCAGTTGCTATCCTTTTCCACATACCTTGATCATCAGAATGGAGAGGTACTGCTTTTGTATAAATAATGTTTTGGGTCCACCTGATTATTGCTTTTTTTGACTGTCAGTCTCATTTTTGGTAATACTGTGGCATCTTGTATTTCCATTGTCCACCATTATCCAAAGAGTTGTGAGCATTTTTGGTTGATTTAGACTCTGGTTTTCATCTGCTTTTAGATACCAGGGTAACAGGAAGCTTATAAATACTTGAAACACGTAAATCAAACTTTTCGAACAATTTTAAGCTCTGGAAGTTTTGTTAAAGCAAAAGAAGCACAGTTAAAAACTTCACATGAGTTTTAAAGTTTTATTTTTAATCTTTTATAATGATATTTGGCAAATGCAAGTTGGTTGTTTTTTGGGGGGAGGGGGGTTGTGTGTGGTTTTGGTTTCGGGGTTTTTTTTTTAATTGAGTAATTAGATGCTGCAAAGGCTTAAAATCAGGCTTTTACTAACTAAAAAAAGGCTTTTACTAACTGCCTGAATTACCTTTCCATTCTATTAAAAAAAAAGTCAACTGAGTTTTTCTTCTCCCCTTGCCTCTCAGAATAACTTAATTTGAGAACAGCAATACATTAAAACAACTGCACATAGTCTCACCAACCAGGAGACACAATTTGAATAGGACATAATATTACACTTCGGAAGAATAAAGGCTGGAAGCACATTGATCCTTTTGGTTCATGTTATACTGAAAGCTTCTATCAAACATACTGCCACAAGCAAGAGAGTAGTACCTCTGTCCTCATCCTTGCACTTTAGGCACTGGGCAGAATGCAGAAGAAACTCTATGTTATTACTTGCTTTGTCTGGGTGCTTCTATATATGCCTTGCAAAGTGAAGGTCTCCTAGGAAGAGAAATAGCATCAATATCTGCAGAGTTAGGGTGATCCTGATGTTGTGTGTGGTGATTAGGCAGTGTATTGTTAGTTAGCTGTTCTTTATACACCAGCAACTGACTACACTGCCACATTAGCACATCACTGTTGAGACAAGAATAAACACTGTTGTTGTTATAAATATCTCATTGGATCCTTAGCTGGTATGGGGCTCAGTTCCCCTGACTGAAGGGGGCTGTACTAGGTTATGCAAATTGAATGAATGTAGGGTATAAAAATAAGTGTAACTGAGTTTGACACACTTGGACAGCTAATCCAACTGGTTTCTAAAGAATTTATTAAATAAGTATTAAGTAAGAGTTTCAGGTTTGGGCCCTGTATGAATATGTTTCTCTTACGCCACTAAATGTTTACTGAAGCACTGATGTGTGCGTTCAGCAAACAAGTTTTCTCAGTCCAACCAGTGACAGAAATGGATTTAGAATATTTACACTCCCAGGCAATTTTTTGGAAAGAGGATCTGATAGTTAAATGGTATCTTGTTGGAGATAATAAGGATATGTCAGACTTCAGGAGCGAGGGAACCATGAGATAGGAATGAAGTGTTAGGATGAACGATGCAATAGGTTATGCTCAAATGGAGTTGAAGAAACTTTTAACACTCATGGGTTGAACTCTTAACCTTCTTAAGAATGCAGTTTTATCTTAAATTGGTGGGATTATTTAAGAATCCAATAAATTGGTTTTAATCTGTATATAGCATTTGTAGTTTAGTAATTTTTATCTGCTATATCCTATGTAAACTGTAAGTCAATATTTATATAAATATATATTTATATTACTTTGTAGGCTTTTGGCTATAGGTAAATGTGTGCTTGATAACGGTGTTCTAACTCTCCTAATCTGTGTAGATTTGGCAGTTAAAGATGCTTTATTTTTACCCTGGATAACTGCTAACTTGGTTTTAAGAAAGAAGCGAGTAGTTCATCAACGATCTGCTGTAAATATTACATTGGAGGAGCTGGTATGTCTCATGAAGAATAAGTAATGCAAACATCTTGAGGTTTTGGAGGAATATTAGTTAACAGTAAACTTTGAAAAACTTAAACTCTGTGTAGATTGAGGACTGAATGGTACCTATATTCAAATTTCTACAGAAGATGGCTGTAGTGGATTGTGACCAAACAGTGAAGTAAGAAATTCAGTGAACTGTTTTCTCAGGCAAAACCTTATTTTTCTAGGAATCTGAAGTAGAAATAATTCAGGAAGCAGGGTGTGAAATAATTCTGTCTACTCATTTGCTAATATCCCATGCTATTTTGGGTACCAGGAAAGGTATTTGATCTTAATGCTGGCATTGAGTTATTTAAGATCACCGTGTATCCTGTGAAAAACAGAACATGAGCTTTAGTGAGTGAAACACAAGCAAGGTGTTCACACTCCCTTCCTCATGATCCCTTCCAAACTAGAAAATTTTACTGCACTGTTTATCTTTCATAGAGTATTTAAAGAACTTGAGTGAAGTTTCCCATATGCTAAATAACTCTCAAGCAATATCAGGACTGAAATAGATTTTTTTTTCCTCAGGTGTTCCACTAACAGCACCCAACATTTCTTTATACCTACCTTTTTTTATTCAGTGATATGAAAAGCAGGGGGCTATAGCAGTGCACATGAATGGACACACATGTTTTAGTCATGTACGTTTTCAAGTAAAGGTATCATCTTGGGAAAAATATTGTGTCCTGCCACTTAGTTCCATGGAATCTAGACTGCTCCCAGTGAAGGGAGAGGATTCATATCCCAGTTCCCTTCCTGCTCCGTCAAAGCAGCAAGGACATGTGACAAAAATCACCTGACATGTTCTGCTAAATGTTCTCAGGGCTGGAACTCTGCATGTATGAGGAGACTGGAGTAAAACACAGGACCTCAGCATGAGAACAGGGACTGTCTTGATGGACTGGATGTTCAGTCTTGTGGGCTAATGGCAAACAGCTTGGAGGTTGGTCTAAAACACCATCAGTAGGCACATTTGGACTAACTAGACCCTTACATGGGTCTTAACTGATCTCTGAAAGTTAGAGTGGCTAAAATTGTCATGCATAAGGTTTGACTTCCAAAATGATGGTTTTCATTATCGAGGGTGACTTTGTTTAATCCTCCACATCAGTATCACTACTCAGTCTTTTAAAATCTTTTTATGTACTTATCCTTCAGGGTTTTTCTGTGAAATTCTCAATGGATTCCACAGATGAATGAAAAATAAGTTGGGTTTTTTTTTTTTAACTTGCTTTTGAATTTCTCACCTTTTTAATACAGTTAAGTGGCTATCTTTGTTGGAAAATGTTTTGAAGCACTTGAGGTATTTTCAGTCACTCTTAGTCTTAGAAGAGAACAGCACTACTGCTACCAGTCTTTTTCATGTAGAAAAAAGTCTTCTGAGACACTGTTTGCTCTCATTTGTATTCTCTCAGCCCTCCTTTAAGACTCTGACAGCTGGAATGACGTTCCTTATTCCAATTTACCATCTCCCTTCATCAAACAGATAAAACATTTCACATTTTAAATAGAACAGTGAAACAGAACTGGAAATGGGTTTGCAGTTACACACAGAACTGGGGACATTGGAAGGTGAGAAGAGTGGGGCTTGAGGCATGAACCTTCATCCCCTTCTACCTCTACGTGAAGACAGTTGTTTTATTCCAGAGATATGAGGTAGATGGTCGGGCAGCATTGTCTTGGACTGTCTCAGAAAGATGTCTGTAAGAGTGCCAGGCTGTTGATTTTTGTTGCCCCTTGAATCCTGCTGTAAACAACCATATATATTCACACAGGCCCTGCCTCCATCCAGGTCAGAAGACTGGGAATCCAGCAGGAGACGAGCTCACAGCTGAGGCACTGTACTGCAGTGCAAATGTATGGAGAAGGCTAAAGAGGTTAAAGGTGTTGCTGTAAAGGTGAAATGTAAAATTAATCAAAATACTAAGCACACAAAGAAACATTTTGGCATTTTTTCTTTTAATAATTTTATTTTCTATGTACAGTTTTTTACAACTAAGTTGACAGCTTCACAACTCAGTAATTTTCCTTGAGAGGATATTGCAAAGCTGGTATCTTCAGTTGCATCTGTTTCTAAAAACCCCAGTATGATGCCTCTGGGCCCCATGTCTTTCAGCCAGGGCAATTATGTGTTAATGGAATATCAAAATCTGTTACTGGTAGATGGGAAACAAAACTCTTCTGTGCAAATACTGAGTAATTTATCAACAAATCCTCTTCCTTTTAGCTATCTCCCTGCTGGTGACAATTGTAATTAGCTATTGTCAGCGATTTAAAGAAACATTAAGGAACTTTATGCAAATTGAAGGTCCATCCCTGCAAGGTACTGAGTGCCTTGCCATTCTCAGTAACCTCAGTGGTTCTCAAGGCCATTGCAGGAGCCAGTTCCACATTAGTAGACATACTGTAGCTGAAAATACTAACCCCAAAGAGAAGTAACATCACCTGATAGTTTAGCTTCTAGCAGCATTTCCCAGGAATGTAGTAAAGCTGTGCACCTGTGCTGTTGAATGGATTCACAGCGTGAATAGCTTTTTCAGAGGTCTTCTCTTTTTTTCATGATAATCTGTCTGATCAATGATGCTACTTCTGGCTTGATACTTTCTATGGGCTCTTCAGGTCTCCAGAATTTCACAACTTTACCCTCAGGGCTGACAAGGTACTTCCAGAAATTCCATCGAGGCTCCTTCTTTGAAGAATCTGTAAGAATGGTATCAGATCCTTTTAGTGACTTAGACTTGTCATTCATTACCCCGCAGTGATTCTTCAACTATTTATGCTGCAGTAATCCCACTTTGTTCTTTGCTAGTAGTCTGGGCATGGATTTACTGGTTGGTGTTAATGATCTGAAAAGCGGGAAGTGAATGATGCTCTCCCCTTCTTGTGAAATTGTTCAAGAGTTCCTACTTTTACTATGCTCTGCTTCCTAGGGAGGAGGATATGCATACTCATATGCGGCCACAGGAGGGCTGCATACTCATTTGGGGAATTCTCAGTTTTATGTTGGTTTAGGGGAAGTGAAATGGCAGCAGGAACACATACTGGTGGTGGCTTAATTGGGCTGCTTTCATCCCATGAGGCAAAACCTTACTGGTATCTTTGCTATCACAAACACCTGGCAAAATAATTTCTGAGATCAAGGGGCTATCAGGAAACTCTGTGGCTCCTAGAGGAGTCAGAAGCAGTTTCTTGACTCTGGCTTTGTCCTTGGAGAGTCTCACAGGTTTAGAGGGGAATTTCTTTTTGAGAGAAGAACTAGAAGAAAACTCTAGGAGATTTTGACTGGGGAACAGGTGTCCAGTGGGGAACAGTGCTGAACCCTACACTGATTCTTGGAAGCAATGGGTTGAATTTTGCCATTGGACTACATTTGTAATATCATGACTGTAAGGGGATGCCATGGCGTGCAAATTGGTATGGTTAAAGCTCATGTCATGGAAGCTCTGGTCCAGCTAGTAATTATATCTTTGAGTTGTTTTATCTAGGATCAGTCTTGAAGTAACATAACCCCATCTCTGAATCTTCTTCTGGTGTTCCTTAATGCCTAGGAGTAACTCATACAAAGTAAAAACACATAGGAAGCTGGACATTATTTGAGGAAAGGTGAGACCACAAACTGCACTGGCCCAACAAAATGCCTTACTGCTGTGAAAGCTCAAGAAGCAGGTGTGTAAAGCCCTTGGCATGTTTATGCTGCCAGTGGATTCTTTTTGCACTACACTATCTGACAGTGCTGGACAAATTGTAGCCAGCAGTTACAGTTACAAGGGGGTGTAGCATGTAGATGTTCAACCTTCTGATTGTCAGGAGCTACATGAAGAAAACAGGTGCTTCTTTAATTGAAGATGCACAGTAATTTCATGTGAAGAAGAGGAATGTAGCAAAAGAAGGACCATATTCCAAAATATTTAAGTATCAGAGGATCTTTCTCCTTCTTGTGGGTGAACAGCATATCAATTAAGAACCAGCTGAGTGAATATGGCTGTTCTTCTGTATAGGTATTAATGTCCGATACTGATTGCACTGGTAATTAGAATCTGGATTCATCCCACCCAGGTGGTACCTACGTGCTCTAGTCTCTATAATGAACTGAGAGGCACCTCCAGAGATTCCACTGGACATCAGGCAACTCAGAGCAATAAGGCTTTACCTGAGGTCTTTGGTGAAACACCTAAGGGGAGGTAGGAAGAAACGCAGTTACAGTGACAATGTTGACCACTTAAGTGACTCCTAAATGATCATAATTTTCAAGTATATAAAAGGTATCACAGTGGATATGGCAAGAAGCAACAGCCAAGTGGTGCAAGAAAGATTTCATTTAGGCGTTGAAAGAGCTTTCTGACAAGAGGAGTGAAGAACTGGAATAGACTGGGAGGTTTTGGAATCTGTCATACTATGATAGTCTGGAGAAGTACATGTAGTACTGATTTGCGTAAATGTGATCCTATCGTGGGGCAGGGAGATGGATTACAGGTTTGGGCCTTCTCCTACCTTATTTTCTAGTTAAAATGATGTGATAGAGAAGGGTTATGTTATAATTATCCTTTCTTTCATATATCAATGTTTAGAATGGGTCAAAGACCCCGACAAAGCTCAGGAAAATTCAGAGAGGCTTTTTAAATTGGCTTTGGGTCTGTGGGCTCTTTGGTCAACTGAAGAGAGTTTCATTTTGCTTATGAGAGTATGAGGCTTCAAGTCAGTAAATGCTTACTGTAACAGAGCGTTTGTGTAAGTGGGTTTTGCAGGCTGGGCCTTGAAGTTTACAACACAAATTAAGGCAAATCAGTGATTATATATAAATGCAGTATATATAACTATAGTATATAATCCTGCTTTGCAGTACAGTTTACATAATGGTGGACATACGACTTTGCTAAAACAGCAATCTTCTCATCTGCATGTGCTTATGTAAAATCTTGCAGTAATTTTAAGACCCCCTCATAGTTACATTTTTGTCCATGAGAGAAATAGTTTTTCACCAAAAGTCACATAACTTGAAATGGGGTTTTGTAGGTGGGAGTCTTTGCAGTCAAGATTATACATCCACAAAATGGGTATTTCTAGCTGGGCTGGTCACAGTAGGCTGTTTTTATAATCGGTGGGAAGAAATGGATAGTTTCAAGGTACAACTCTTCTAATCATATTTTGATATCCACATTGAAATGAGAC